AAGAAAGATGGTGTAGAGCTGGGAGATCTCTCATTTTAATCAGAATTTCGCGGGCTACAGCTGTGACTTATTTAGAAAAACCGTTGGGGATTTTTCGAGGTTTCTGGAAAACTAGTTGTTCAGAAACCGGTTAGGAAAGGCCTATGGGGAAAAACGGCTATCATATTCGGAATCAGCATGATCGACTACCTATAGTCCACTTGGTTTCGGCTCGGAAGCGATTTGACATTTGGTTATGTTCGCTCGTAAGTGTCTCAGTTCCATGGATGTGGACATGCACTTGCTTGAATTTCGATAAATTGAGCGTTGAAGGATTCCAGGGATCTTGCTTTCATTTTCTTTCAGCTGTGACTAAGGTTTATAGTGAAATAAAGGATCTTTTTATTGCAAAGGTCATTGATAACGAAATGGCAGCATCGTACTCTGGAGTGAATAAACGTGAATGTGTTAATTTGTCAGCAATTCTGTCGTTAATTGATTAGAACTGGGTGTGAAAATTGACCATCAAACAAGTCTAGAAATTTTTTAAATTTAACGTATACATTCGCAAGAAGACACGCATTATGATGTTCGGTCACCGCTTACAACAGTGACTCATCTCTTTCAAATCAGATATTAAGTGACCCGATTAAACGTACATTAAGCAACACAAAATTATCTGAAATTCAAATTCCTCTCAAGATGCATGTGCACCTTACGCCAACTCCGTACTTTCCAACGAAAGAGAGTGAAAGATGAAAACAAGCATGAAGGTAGAAAATGGGTGAAGTACATCGTCGAGAGGTTATTGTATCTCATAGTTTTGTGGTTGTTTTAAGGAATACCCGATTTTTAATGTCTGGTGTGAAAATGGTATTGTCCCAGGTCGAGGACCCACGACCGTATACTACAATATACGTCATATTACGATGAAATACGTCAGTCGTAAACGTTGACAGATACGACGCTATGTAAACGATGAATTACGATGCAGTTACGTCAGTCGTATGCGATCGCTTACGACAAGTCAAATTTTTCAAAAAAAAATCAGAACGTAACAAAGTATACGACCGTCGTAAACTGTAGTAACCCTAACGTATTTTCATCGTTTAATCTATCGTAGCAGATTTGACTTAAAAATATATTTTCAAAACAGTACAGGACTGAAAAACGGCCGGCACCACCAGTGCGCATGCTATGTTGCACCGGTACGCACTAGTTCCATATTTTTCATCACCGTTTTGTTATATACGATTGATTACGATTGATTCCACTATGTTTTACTCGGACTTTTCTTCGAGAACATAGTGTGATCAAATTTTAATGCGTTCTTCGGGCAAACAATGCTTTTGTTATGTTATAATCTCTATCTGAAAGGAAAACTCAGTATGAACTAGAGAGTCACCTAGTAAATTCGGGGTATGTACACAGCAAATTCAACTCTCTGTTCCCTTATCTAAATAGGTCTCATTTTCACTAGTTTAATAAAGTGCCTTATATAACAGACACTGTTTTTTATCTCGCTTAAAATGAGAAAAAAACATTGGTACCGTCAATGATACACGTGGCGAGTGTATGTTACATGGATATGCACGTGGAGCAATCTTATATAACAAAACAGTGATTGGATTAGCAATTTAAATTAGCAGTATACGACGAAAAACGACCGTATACGACATTGTATACGACGTCGAATTTTGACGTATCCCATCGTAAACGGTCGCATCCATTTCAGACAAAATAAGACGTCGTATTCCTTCTCCATGGTAGACGCCAACGTATTTCGTCGTAAACAGCGTCGTATTTTGACGTATACTACAATATCCATCATCGTAAACTGCAGTATCATTCATCGTAAACTGTAGTATACGGCTGTCGTAATCATCGTCCTGGGCGTTCTGTCATTTAGGGCCATTCTCCCTCCTCATCTTGAAATACCGGGTTCATTGAAATTATGACATCCCTTTGACATAATCAGTTTCTGTTAAAAACGATCGATTAAATGGTCGAAATATCCTCAAATCAGACCAAAATTAAAAATTGTTTCCTCTGAAGGAATAGAAAACTATTGCAGTGATCAACTTGTGTACCCGTCTTAAACCCTTTTGTCTTTCTGTTTGTCTGCTCATGAAAAATAAAAGTTACACTTTTTCTAATATTCTTACCTATAGCAGCTGTTCGTAGACGGTTTAGCTAAGCTTATAACATTTTAAAACATATTGGTAGTTATCTGAGGATCGTTGTCTTCGTTAAAGTAATTTATTTTCTTATCAAGTTAAGTATCATTCTTAGTATTATTCTTAGTATTATTCTTATCGAAGTTTAAAAACAAATAATTCCAAAATATAAGAAACAGACAAATGATGGTTCTAAAGAGCACCAATATCGGATGTAACTTGAACTTGTTTAGATGAATATTGTAAAAATGCAATGGCTATAAGAGTGAGAATTGTTACGATAACCATTAGAAAATATGAATAGCCTAATAGACGAAAATGAGTATTATTCGCGTACGAAATATAACTAATGACTAACAAAACTGTCCCGATCAGAAGAGCAACAATAACCACGTACGAGAGGTAACGTGGCGGATATTCCGAACGATGCGGTAATAAAGATATAATAAAACCGATCAAAAGGAGAATGACGCCAGCTAATGCCGACACAGCAGGTGTTCGATTTGGATTTCGTGTACAACCCGTTATCAAGTTATCAATATTGCACGTTTTCCATAATCCAGCTCGTTGTTCATGTGTCGTATACCAATGATCAGTCGATATACTTATTAGAGCAAGGACAATAGCGATCACCAAAAGGAATATTGCTGTACGTCTCATTGCACGAACCATTTTTTAACTAATATTCTTTCCGATATATCTCAAACAGATAGATATACAGGAGAAAGATTTTATTCTTCAGTAGTACATTACTAAAATAATGAGAACAGAGCAAAGGATATCATATAACAACAAGAAAAAAGACACATTAATAGACATCAACAGCAATGTCAAAAAAGTCAAAACATTATCGATCTGACAACACTTTTACTTCGCTTCACCGACTACAAAACACTGACCATCTAATCAAGATTTTCGTTATAAAAAAAAGACACATACCATCGAATTTCAACTGATTGATCGAAAACAATACGTTGTTCTTTTCCAAGACCAGATGAACTTAAACATAGGTTATCTCTCAAAGAGCCTTTTTAAATTCGAAAACGAGAATTTCTTTTTCGTTGCTAGTAGCAAATTCAGTAGAATTACTGTCACGACAAATTTAGCAACAATCAGAGTTTGATTTTTAAGGCATTTATGAGGCTATACGTCATGCGCTCGATCTGATATTTTTCTGAGTTCTGACAAAAACCTTGATTAGATGGTCAATGTTTTGTACTAGGTGAAGCGAAGTAAAGGCATTGTCAAATCAATAATGTCTGATTTACTTTTTTGACATTGTTGCGGATGCCTATTAATTTATCTTTCTTCTCGTTGTTATATGATGTCCTTTGCTCTGTTTATTTTGTTAACATACTACTGAAGAATAAAATCTTCTATATGTCTATCTGTTTGTGACATATAGAAAATAATTTCTAGAAATAGTTACGGGTCGATTACGGGTCAGTCAACCATTTTCCTGTTCGTCGGCTGAAACTAATCGAAACAAAAGTTTTTTGAAAAGTTCTTCGACAATAACACTTTTTTAAAATTTTTCATAATTTTTCACTCATTTCCTAATTTTCAGAAAAAAATAAGGGTTTTTCTATTGGAAAAAGGCTGTTTTTAGCTTAAAAATCCTTGGCTCGGTCCTAGGGGTGTAGCCGTAGCGGTTTTCGTTCTCAACTGTAATTCATCAGTTGACGTTCTAAACTCTCAACTGCATCTCAATAGTTGACGTTCTAAGCTGTCAATGGTATTTTTATCAGTCGAAATTAACTGAATATCTTCATTTTTTCAGGGAAAGAGTGAGTTGGATGAAAATCTCTTGTCTACCAAAAATGTTTACGAAATTTACCTGTTTTTTCCATTTTTGCCTTTTTTCTTCAATTATGTTTCCTTCTGAGAAGCTATTTCAGATGATTAGTCGTGTGTCTCTCTACTTATACTGAATTTCAGTATAACGACATAATATTTTACGTTGACAGTTTAGAACGTTAACTGATGAGATGCCGCTGACAGTTCAGAACGTCAACGGCAAAACCGTTTTGCCGTTGACGTACTAAACTGT